CTGCAGGAGCGGCAGCCACGCTGCTGCAGATGTGCCAAACCATGTATTTAAAGCCTCTCTGAACACATCTGTTACTGAAGGGACAAGAAATGAATTCAAAATTAATACGAAAAATGAATACTAGGGGGAAGTTACAAGACCCACTGAAATGCGGTGGTGCAAATGCAGAGCTTCACGCAGCCAAAGGCTAACGGAAGGCGCCTTCCCTTGGCACTCCATGCACTCATTGTCAATGGCTGATTTCACCGTTTCCTCTGTACTGTCACTTTTCCTTTCCTGTTCCAACTTCAAAAACAGGAAAACAGCTACAAAGCCACAGGAATCACCAGGGGACCAAGGGGAGCGCAGCACTTCAGAAAGACTGAACTGGCTTTTGCCATTTGTTTAACACGCGTCTCCAACACGGCCAGGGCACGCACAGCCGTCCGGCAGCGGAAAAACGCGGCACAGCGTGGGGTTCTCGGCAGCCGCACCGCTCGTTGCCACCAAGCATCCTGGATGCCACGAGGGTTTCCATCTGGCGTCAACCCAGGGCAACAGTAGCTCCTGTGAGAGTTAGAAATTGGGTTTTTAGGATTTCAAAACTTTTAAATCCAGAAGAGCCTTGGTAGAAGTGGTTAAGCACAGAAACCCCCCGGACGAACACCGACAGCTCGAGCGTGAGGGTACTGTCAGAGGCAGATGCTAACGCCGACAGCTCCAAGATAAGGCTCGCAACAAACGGGTCTGAGCTCAGGCAGGGTTTTGCGAGAGATTCCTGCTCAGCTAGAAACAGCCCAGCAGCATTGCTCCATCGCGTTTCGCCCTTCCACAACAGCCTCTCCGCTTCACTCCAGACGAGCCGGCTGCATTTTTGACAGAAGCCACTGCCAGCAAGCCCTGATTCCGTTCGCGGCTATACCCCATTTCAAACGAGCTCGGAAGGAGCAACTTTCAACTCAACTTAACTCCAGCTTTCTCCCTGAGTTCACACAAAGAGTTTGAAAACTGCAAAGGGATCCCCAAGAGATACTTCAGAAAAATAAATGTATGGCCAGCTGAGATTGTTAGCTACACCAGGATCCACACTTCACCAGGAAGAGGGAAAAAACCCAACCCAAGCCAACAAACAAAACCAAAAGCAAGCCACCAACCCAGAACAACTCTTCAGTGTTCCCTTAAACACAGAAATTCCACAGGAGGTTCCCCCCAGGTAACTCCTAGATTCCGAGCACTCCTTACACTACCAGGGCAGAAGAGCCCTTCCCACCCCTATGGTAAGGGCACCAGAAGCAGCCAGTGACTGCTCACCAAGCCTTGTCCTATCCTGGGAAAGGAGAGAACAGCCTCAACGCCGATAACTGGTATGAAAGCACACCAAGATGATATGTCAAGTTTAGCCCAGTTTCACATGCTTATATTTCACTTCCCGAGATTATTCTTTTCATACAATTTATTTGAAATAAAATTTCTTTTTTCTTTCCATCTGCAAATAATAATGAAGAGCAAGAAGGAGCAAAAACTACCAGTTTCCTCCATGCAGTTCCCTCTTCCCTCCAACACCACTTCCCCCCCTATTTTTTTTTTAAATAACCATTCCCATTATTCTTTAAAAAAAAATAAAAAAATCAATCATGTTTAGACTAAGTAACCTGTAAAATAGCCTGGAAGAAGCAAACATGTATGACAGTCTTCTCCTCATGAAATATTACATTGATAAAGTCTTCCTAAAAAGTTGCAATACACAAAATTTGAGAGGAGAATCTAGGCCCAGATATTTAATTATAAAAGTTCCCCAAAAGCAAGGTGGTTATACAGTAATTAGAAGACTGCACAGAAGTTTAGCAGTGAGAGTTTCACATCTAAATTTCTCAATACCATACTAGACGACAAGCATCCAAAAACTTTGTTATCAAATTGCTTTGAAGGTCTCAAACCAGTTCCTTAGCAGAACAGGGGGGTTCCAGTCAAGAGTTTGAAAACCCAAGCAAACCAAACCCACAGAACTGGCTAAGAGCCACTGCCCTCACTGAGCCGAGCCAGACTTAGACTTCAAGGCAGTATTTTTAGATGAAACGAGAGCAAGCAGGTATTACCCCTCAAGAAGAGAATGTTACCTTTCTGGCAGCACAGTGTTTTTTTTGTATACCAGACTATAAAACCACTAAACACCCGAACAGCTGAAATAAAACTGATACCAATCTTGGAACATTAGTTATAAATGCAAGAGGAACTGCTATTAAAGCCTACATCAATTGTTGCAACATGAATTTATAACAATTTCCTTAATTTCAGATTTTGTCTTCTCTCCAAAGCTTTCAAAGCAGACCAAAAGTTTCTAGTGTCATACCAAACTGACTAGGTCATTATGTATGTCAAACAGACTAGAACAAATAAACATTCAACCACATCAGATAAATTCCACTCTACATTTCAGGTGTGTTTCTATTTATTTATTTTTTTTTTAAATGGAATGTTGGTACTTTTAAGACACCCCCAGTAATGCAGGATTCAATAAATACAGCCACTACAATCCCACACTTTATTCTGAACAGCTCAGAAACCTATCTACCCCTCATATACTCTTCCACCCAACGTCAGACAGCACAGCAAGGTCATGCAGATTATCTGTTGAAACCAGTCTTTCCTACAAGGGCAGAACTTGAAGTATAGACTTGGAAAGGTACTCGGCCCTGAAGGACTCTCCGACTACAAACATCTTAAAACTTCTATTCTAAAAAGGACACGAAGCTGCAAAGAGGCCATAAAACTCAGCGTCAGGGGTTTTACTTTTTCTGTCCAACTGATGCCAGGAGCAGGCTTACTGCTGTCTCCACAGGAAAACAGAAGTCATTGGAATGGAAACACAGACATTACGTATCAGTACATTAATATTTTCAGAAGCCCTTGCTGAGAAGAGCTCAACAAATTAAAGCCAAAACTGATTAGCTGTTGTTTTTTTTTTTTTTTTTTTTTTTTACCTCAGACTGCAGGTGCTGGATCACAACTGTTAACGCTTCAAACTTCTGGTTCCCGCTGATTAGGAATTTTTTCAGCTGCAGGATGATTCCACTTTGGGTCTCGCATTTTGCTTTGTACTGCGTCAACTCGGCTGTTTTTGTGCCAGGCGGATGCACATCTGTGGAGGCTGGAGTCTGTACGCAGGAGCTCCTGGGACTCCGCTGCTTGCCCTTGTCAACTAAAACAACAACAACAACAACTAATTAATAAGCACTTTATGTTGAAGTCTCACCAAGGCTTAAGGCAGGTGCAAAAGAAAGTAGTTATAAATTCTTAATAAACGCTTCCTGAAATAGCAGCCAGGAGAAAGTTATTCCAGCGGCAGTGCCGAGCAGACGCTACCGTCTGCCGGGGCATTTCCAGCACCCCGACCTCGTCCGCAGGGTTCTGCACGTCATCCTTACCTCCGTGCGTTCGGTGGCTGACTTCTCAGCACGCTGTCTTCACTGCACTTATAAATACGTCCATAAAACCAAAGATCTCTGTCTCCCCACCTACCCGGTAACTTAGCTCCAGCGTCAGAGTTGCCCACTTTTGTTTGCAGCATGGATTTCATATTTTCTGCACTCTGAAGTATTGCTGAACACAAAACCATTTGCCCTACATTCACTTGTTCTTGTTTTTCCCTTCAAAGTTTTCAGTGCAGAAACCCCCCTCCCTGCAGGTCACATTTGAGCTTTACTGACTAGAGCTCCTGCAGCATTTCTTAGTGTCAGCAATTTCAGTCACAAGGATAAGACTTTAAAAAAAATGCTATGAAATGTAATATATTTCAAGTTCGCCCCGCCACTGCTCATGGTCCAAGAATTGCATCGTTGATTCAACATTCCTAGCTGTGTTGCAACCGCAATCCTTCACCGTACACAACCACCCCATCTCAGAGGAAACCCCATTACACAAACCAGCCTCGAGTCGTAAACACGGTGAAGGTTCCAGGTTTCTCTGCTGCCTTCAGACGGGAAAGGGAGCCCAGCACTGCTGCGCAGACAGGGCCAGTCTTCCCCGTTTGATCGCACGGGGAACCAGAAAACACTTTTGCAATAAAAGGCTGATGCAAGACATAAATATCCCTTGGGAATCTAATGAAGACATCGAAGCAGGTTACTCTGTACAGTTTCAACCTAACAAGATTTCTTCAAGATAAAGTGAAGAAACCCGAGAGGTGAGATTTGCAAAAGAGAAAAATAGGAACATGTGGAAAAAACAGGGGACAAAGCAACCAAATAGAAGGAGTTGCTCATGAATCCTTTCTGAAGTCCAGGCGCCTGGTTTGAAGGTTGTCAAGTGACCCTCGAACAGCCCTAGAAGCGTGAGGTGCAGTCACACCACTGGAGACAGTAACCAAAGCTTGGACTCTCTGTTAACGTTCGCCTGACACATCAGCTATTGCACTAACACACCAGGCTTGCACAGCCTCCGCTTGTTTGCAAACCACTTGAAAACAAGTTTCCTGCTCAAAATACTGATGTCCTCTGTGCCTCTCTTACTGAGCCGAGTACAAAGTGCCTCCTGAGCCTACTAATCTTCTAAATTCACCCTCTCCAGGCAGGATTTTCTGTCCTCCCTCCCAGTCAGAGGATTGTCAGTGTGTTGCTTTATGATGTTGAGACGCTCTCAGATTCTTGGTGACTTCACTACCCTTCTGCTCCGAGATGCGGAGCGTTAAAGGGTCTGTTCTCAGTTAGAAACGTACCGCCTTGCGGTGTAATAGGAGAGCTGTTAAAACATCTGTCAACACAATAACCCAAATCAAAACACAGACCTGTAGGGGAAAGCAAGCTCAAGCCTGGCTGCCAGCTGCAGTTCGCCTATTTTTACCACCGTTGGAACTGATGTGACCACTCCTTTTCTTGCAGCGCGGGCGCAACAGTGCCCTTTGAGCAGACCTCTGTCAGTGAAGGACGGCTCACGGCTGAGAGCAACCGTGTCAGATTCCCAGCCACCTTACGGAGAATACTGCGTTTAGGAAAATACTGGTTACCTTCCGAAGCTCCTTCAGAAATCACAAATAATCAGGGGGAGAGAAAAAAAAAAGAGCAGGGACTGGAGAATCAACATGTACCGTCAGTCCTGCCCTGCCCTACTGGCTCACCTACTCCTGCTCCCTCTCACATTCCACCTCCCTTCCCAAGTGCTCCTTTTGATATAAACAGAGAACTAGAGCATTCTTCTTGATTTCAGGGTACTGGGTAAATTCACTGTTACAGATGTTAATGTCATCTGTGATTAGCTATATGAAATGATTTTTACATCCATTTATAGGACCCTGGCAGAGCTGTGTTAAACCTCAAATCTTTGCAGACCATTTTTATTCTGGGAGAAAATTACATCATGTGCTGTTACCTAATGAAGTTATTTCATTTAAATGGAGTGATACAACAGCTAACCACCAGTGACACCAGGCTCCAGCTATCCACTGTTTCAGGGTGCAGCCAGCCTTTATCAGCTTGCCGGTTTCACACCATCGCTTTGATCGTGGTCCCCAGACTACCAAGCCTTTTCCTAGAAGCTCATTCCAACAGCCAGCCAAGCCAAGCCTGGATACTACGCTAAAAAAAGCTGAACCAAACCCATGCACTACAGAAATTCAGTGACATTGCTGTCAGCAATATTATCCTAGACATGTACTACACACAGCCACTGCAAATGCTGAAAAGCATCTCTCTGCTGGCGTGAACCCTCTGTGGCACGAACTGCCTCTGCAGATGAACACCAGCGACACTTCAGAGCTTATTTCTGGCCTGCGTGCCTCTGGGCAATGACAGACTGTTTCCAGAGCTGTACAGAAGTGCTGTGATGTCAGAACAAAAGCCATGCTTTCATTAAAACAAAAGCATCATGAGTCCAATTAGATGGACTCCAAATTCAAAGCCAGGGTTGGTTACCAGCTCAAGTCCCCCTCACTCTGGCCTTTTTTACTTGCCACCTTTATACAGTCAGACTCGTAAAGCAGAACAATTTCCCCCCCAAGTCAGGTTCCGGACTCCTCTCCAACAGGCTCGGAAATACTGCACTCAATCTAGTTGACACGCTCAGTTACTGAAGGCTCTTCAGGACTGCATGCAGCACAGTAACCAGACAAAAATCACCATCTACGGTCCTGTGCTGCTCCATAACAGCAAAAAAAAAAAACTTAAAAAAATTAAAGAAAAAAAAAATAGCAGTGATTTTGCAAAGACTAAGCCTTTTGATCACTGAATCATTCACAGAAGATTCAATATCTCGCTGGCAAAAAGAATACCCCATGACCTCAGAAAAGGTCCAGAGATCCTCCCACTCCCTCTACAGTTGCTACAGGGATGGCAGCAGCCGACTTCTGCTCTTCAGGGAGACTGTGAGACCCATCCCCAGCTTTTCCATAAAGCAAACTGCTTCCCATACGTAGCTTCCCTAGCTCATCGGCGTTCCAAAGTAAGGAACACACAACTGTGTGTACACCGGGGTGCGTTCCACAAGGCTGCGTTGAAGTGCTGGGGTACTGCCCAGTACTTGGCCGGCTACCTGAGAACCTGCCCGGTACCGCTGGTTCCCTGAGCCCTTCTACCTCATGCTCTGTTGCTGGATTACCAGAGAAAACATCCACCACCCACTTTTTGGTTTGCAGAGCCAAATCGAAGCCTTCCTTTGCTCATCATGTGCTAGGAAGGTCTGTGTAGTAATGTCTACGCTAGCTAGAAATTGTTTTCTTTAAGCAAGAGATTCAATTTCTAAAAAAAAAAAACAACAACAACAAAAAAAAAAAAACAAAAACAAACCATTTCTTAGAAGCATTCCAAATAGCCTAAACAAACTATTTCACAGCACAGGTAGGAACAACCTCACTTCTCTCCCCACACTTCTGTAGTCACCAGTGTCTTACCCCTAAGCACCTTCTTCTCACATTCCTCATCCAAACCGTTTGCTTCCACAGGTTTTTCAAAACCCACGTGCGTCTCGTGTAAGCGTTTTTCAAAGAAGAATCCTTGCTCAACATTTTCTCTTGCAGGAAGACGCAGGCTGGTAAAAACTTTCTGCCTCTCCTCCATTTTCTGGAAAGCCTTGTCTACACTTGTTAAATTGGTGCTCACTTCTTTGATCAGTAGGACCAGATCAGCCTGAGTATTTAATCGAGCTTCCATTTCTTCTCTTACTCGCTGGATCTCCTCCAGCACAGTTCTTATATCCACGTGACTGGCCTTCACCTGCGCTTCGAGATCTTCCTTCACCTGTTGCTGGCTCCTCTGCAGTGCTAACACCGTGCCGATTTCCTTCCGAGACGTCTCCACGCCATGCTTCAGTTCCTCCTGCGCAGCCTGCATCGCCTCCTGGCTGGCTCTCACCTCTGCCAGCAGGGCAGCGAGGCACTCCATCCCGATCCCACCGGAGTCGCGGGACCTCTCCCAGCCTCACAGGGACATCTGGGAGCTGGCGGCAGACTTCCCCGGACAGCAGCGCCGGCACGCAGCCCTTGGCGAGGTGTCCCACCTCAATTCGCGGCGCGCTGCAGCGAAGCCACGAGGTAAGAGTCCAGCACAAGGCGAGACGAAGGTACCAAATACAACACTTCAACAAGCAGGGCTCTGGAGCCAGAGCTGCTGCTCAGCACTCAGCCAGAGCACTAATCAGTTTAATTGGCAGATTATGCCACACCTGAATTTCTTAAAATCTTTTGCTGACATCACCGTACGTGGGACGTCAGCGCTGCAGCGAAGCCACGAGGTAAGAGTCCAGCACAAGGCGAGACGAAGGTACCAAATACAACACTTCAACAAGCAGGGCTCTGGAGCCAGAGCTGCTGCTCAGCACTCAGCCAGAGCACTAATCAGTTTAATTGGCAGATTATGCCACACCTGAATTTCTTAAAATCTTTTGCTGACATCACCGTACGTGGGACGTCACCCCACAAGCCACTCCCAGCAGTCATTTGATCTGGGCATCCATCAGAGCACGCCTGGGCATCGGTAGCCGGGTTTGTCGCAACGCAGCCAGAACGCCGGGCCCCTTCCTTTCCAACGAGGGCTCAGAGGAGCCGAAACCCAAACGTTTCAACAGCACTCGGTTATTTCAACCGTACATTCGACCAGGCGATTACACACCCGCACCTCCTGCTGCTGCCTGCAGCGAGGGTTCAGGAGTGCACCTGCGAGGACGCTGGGCATCGCCCCACTCCCACTGAACGCCCTCCTCACTCCCACAGCC